GCCATAACTTCACCTCTGATGGCCTGCCCGGAGATATCGTGAAGCAGATAAGCCTCCTTGTTGATCCACACACCATCCTTCTTCTGCTTCTTCATCACACTGTAAGACAGGTTGTTGAACTCCAGGCCATGCCCCGGAATCAGCTTTCGCCATCGCTGCCTTGCCCCGACATTATTATTATTCTTTCCATTAATCTTTGCAGCTTTGTCTGTGTCCATGATGTTGATCTCCAGGTTCCTGTTATCTGCTGCACGCTTGAACCTGGCCATTTTTCTTGATCCCTTTTCCCCTCACCCAAATCTGCACTGACTACTTTGCATGTTTATAAATGAGGGTGGACAAAAGGGGATTTGATGATGATTAAATTGAGAGATTTGGGTTTGGAGTTGAGGAAAAAAACAACAAAAAAGAGATGGCAGGCCGCCAGAAAGCTGTGTTTTCTTCCTAAATGTTATGTACTTTGGTCTTGTCGCTGATTTGCTTTGATTAGTCCGGAAAGTAGTGATGTTTCTTAAGGCATAAAGACATAATTCCTGTGTTTATTAACAACTTAAGTCAGGTCAAACAATGTAATTGCTAAAGTAATTTTAATTTATATACTTTTCTGATCTCATGAAGGAATCAAATGGCAATAAAAACAAAAGATCTGGATTCTCATTTCTGGAGCATTGTTATAACTCTTCTCTTTGACAAGACTTGGAATATTGGTTTTATCCTATGCTTGAATTGACAACCCATTTTCATATTTGTCATAATTGAAGCATGTGTTCTATCTCAAAAGTTTAAGCTGATAATTGAATTGCACATTAATAACTACATGCTCAACAATCATTGTCAAACACTTACGTAAAAAGTGAATTTTTAGATTGTGTTTAAATTGGCAAAGGTTATGGTTTAACCGTTAATAAATAACTATACGTTGTTCATAATTGTCCAGAACATTGTGGTCTAGTGGCATTAATTGCTCCCTTATGTGAGAAAGTGTGGGTTCGAGCCTTAGTGAAAGCGTGTTTTAAATTACTTTGAGAAATTAATTATGAACCCATGCGTCGAACACCCATTTGAAATGGTAACAACGGTGCCATCATCCTATAGAAAATGAGCTATTAAATCTCTAACCCCAAATTCTAAATAGAAAATTTAAAACTTTTGGCTACACAATTGCTTCTCTTAATTTTAAAGTTTTGGTCCTAGACTTTTTTTAAAAAAATTTCACTTTAATTAAGTTACAACTTGCATTTTTTTTTTATTTTTTTTTTTACAAATTTGATCCTTCTAGTATGTTTTTTTTTTTTTGGGTAACAAACTAAGTTACTGGAGTCAACTATTTTGACTGCTTTTAAGGAGCAAAACTTCCCAAACATTCTTTAATGCGTCCAAACTCCAATTCATAATTTCTCAATCCTGTTTGGTGGGTGAATATAATTTTGGCTTATTTAACCACTATTAATTGTTTGATTTAGTTAAAATATCAATATAAGTATTTGGTTAATTAGTTTTTTGCAACTTCAAAATGTTAAAATTTAAAAAGCTACTCCTAGCAGCTTTTTCAATTAGCTTTTTGAGAAAATAAATTATACCAAACAGCTATCAGCTATCAGTTAATTTACCAAACACTTTTCTACAATAGCTAATGTTATCAACTAGTTATACCTTCTAATTAACACAATCAGCTAACAGCTAACAGCCATTTCCTCACGGTGGCGGCCTAGCGCCTAGGCGCGATTTTTGCAACTATAGAAAATTTATGTAAAACGATGTCTAAATTAACGTTAGAATTGCATAATAAAAGCAATAAAATAGATAAGGGAGTTTCAAGAAAACATATTTAATTGAGGTTGGCCTACTGATTGATGTTGTGTGTTAAGAGTAGAAGAAGAAGACACGCTATAATCAAAAGAGAAATGTCAAACATCAATTTTAGGTTGAAAATAGAGAGGGGTAATTTTGTCTCAAAGTTACTTTTTTTTTTTCTTCTTAAAATCCATGGAATTGAAATACCAATGGGGACATGAGATTCTAATTCCATAAAAATAAGAAAATTTTAATTCCGCGGAATTGCAATTCCCTTCAACCAAACGAAAGAATTGGCTTGTCTTGAAATTATGTGAGAATTAGGTGGGATGGAATTGTAATTCCATCCAGCAAATGTCCCGTAAAAGTACAAATTTATAAGTCAAAAACTAAAATTAAAATTAAAATATCATAATAGTCGTGCACTCAAAAGCAATAAAAAATCTCTCAAAAATCTTTACAAATGTATACTTAATTCATAACCAAATTAAAACAATTTAATAGAATAAGCTTTGTCCAATATGTTTAGCAATTAACATTATATTATATTAGTAATAATACAAAACAAGCTTCTAGACCAATGGTTCTAATGTCACTTAATTTTTATTTATTTTTTATTATAAAGAAAATGAGATACTCACATATACAAACAATTACATCAAATGTTACCATAATCACCTCCACCGAGGTCCAAATCCACCACCTCCTATATAAGAGAGTAACTTGATACCAGTGAACCACAAAGCCCTTAATAATGTCACTTAATTACTTATTCAATCAAGTAATTTTTTTATTTTTTAAAAAAGACCTAAAAAGTCCTAAACATATTGGTAATTAACAATTCCAGCCACGGATCATTTGGAGATTGGCTCTCAAAGTTGGATTAGGGCTGGGTTAAATTCTTTGTACGCGGATGTGTATAGTTTGGTATTAAATTTTAAAGCACAAACTCAAATTTCCTTTTCATGAACCTTGGAAACGGATTCATATATAAGATCTAGAAATTAGTCCGATCAAGTCGAGATATTTGGACTATTAAAAAAAAGTGAAAATGATAATATATATGGTCTCATTGGGCATTGGGATTTGGGAACAAGAAAACCAAAGTGGGATGCATATATAAATAGTGGGTTAATGCATATATAGATAGTGAGTATCATAACAGAAATGAGCATCAAAATGACAAACACATCACCTGCAGGCAAGTATTTTTGTGTTACATTTTACAAACTCGAGATGTTGGTGCGGTTCAATCACATTGCAATGTTGTTTATACATGATTCAATTCTGTGATATGATTGAGCCACGCCAATATCACGTGTAGTATAAAGACGGAGAGTACTTTTCTTAATTACTTTATTATTGATTTTACTAAATGAATAAAATAATTTTAATTTTTATTATGATAACTAAAAGAGTTAATTTCAGCAATGCTCCTCCGACTATTATGATTTTTCACAATTGGTCCTCGTCTTTTAATTTGGATAAAATAAACTATTGACTATTAAATTTGTTCCACTATTAGTCATTCCGTTAACTGTAAGTTAGATAGGCGTTAAGACAATGGTACATACGTAATTTCCTCGCCCCCTATCCCTCTAGAAGTTACAGCTGGATGGGCTGGCCGGAAGAATAATGAATGAACACTGCGTCATCACCAAACGCCGCTTCACGTTGATTTTGCAGGACCCGTCACTCCGCCACAAGTACTTGGAGGCGAAACGACAGCGACGAAGCCCATCAGTTCGGTGAGCAAAAGGTTTGGAGAATTTACAACCGTGGTTTGATCAGAAGCAGTAGAAATGGTAGGGAAGCAGAGCGCTTGTGTGAACGCGCCGCAATCGGATGAAGCAAAACCAGTTGAGGTTTGATGGATGGAAGGCGGTTCAGTCAACAACTCATTGCGTGCATGAAAAAAACGGTGCCAGTGATTTGCATAATTATTTGGAGATGATTTCTCGGAAGAAGACGATGACGAAGACGGTGAGGGGCTGGCTATGAGAGGAGAGGGGAGAACTGCAGGTCTCTTCTTGGAAAATGCTTTGGTTTTGCTTTCAAATTCCTCGTCGTCACTGTCTTCATCAACCCTTTTTATCATTGGCAGATATTACACGTTCGTCGGCCCTCCTTTCAGCTTTCCTTTCTTTGGCATTGAATGTAGTGCGCAATTTTCTTTCTATGGGATCATTTGAACATAGGTTTTTAGATTCACGAAGAACTATTGCACCAATAGGGGTGTGCAATATTCGAAAAAACCGACCCGCCCGCCCGATCCGAAACCCGACGAATGAAGTCGTGGCGTGGACCGTATCCGACCCATTGCTGCGTTTATTGGCGGATAAGAGGGTTCAGGTTGGGGGCAATAAATGCCACCCGAACCCGTCCGAATATCCAAAATAACGCTAGGGTTTTTTTACCCTATGTAATACGACGTCGTGTGGTTGTTATATATATATTGAATGTTTGTTCAGCGCAGCCGAGCCCTCATTTCATTTGAGAATTCTAGGCTTCTAGAGAATTCTCTCGTTCTCTCTTTCGCTCTGGTCTTTGAGTTCTCTCATTTCTGATTCTCTCTTTCGCTCTAGTCTTTGAGTCTTACTCTCTGAGTTCTCACTTCTCTGAATCTCTGATAGTCTGATTCTCTCAGTCTCTTAGACACTCAGAGCTGTAGTCTGGTACTCTGGTGTATTCTGGTGGAAGCCCTAGTCGGAGTAGTCGGCTAGTCTAGTGGAGTGGTAGAAGCCCTAGTCCGGTCACTAGTGGAACTGTGGAACGTTAGAATCGAAACCCTTTGTTCTCGAGGGATTACTTGTGAGAAACGAAGTAATTGCTAAACCCTATTTACATTTTTGTTATAGATTATTGTCTTATTGATTAGGGTTTCTAATTTGCTATTATTATGTGGACTGTGATACTTGTCAATCTGTTGAGAAGTTCCAGATTGCATGTCACTAGTCCTTTGAGTGTGAATTTCTGATACTTTGATTAGGGTTTCTAATTTTCTATGATTATGTGAACTGTGATACTTGTCAATCTGTTGAGAAATTCTAGATTGTATGTCACTAGTCCTTTGAGTGTGAATTTCTGATACTTTGATTAGGGTTTCTAATTTGCTATGATTATGTGGACTGTGATACTTGTCAATCTGTTGAGAAGTTCCGGATTGCATGTCACTAGTCCTTTGAGTGTGAAGCACCACTTCCAAGAAAAAGTCAGAGAAGGTCGTGAACCCGTTGTTCGAGAAGCAGCCAAAGCAATTCGGCATCGGCGGAGCATTGCCACCCAAGAAGGATCATACAAGGTTCGTGATATGGCCTCAGGTTGTCCGTATCCAGAGGAAGAGACGGATCCTCAATCAGCGCTTGAAGGTTCCACCTTCCCTCAATCAGTTCTCCAAGACCCTTGATAAAAACCTTGGTCATTTGCTTGCTTTGCCACCGATCTCCATTATTACCTGTCGAGAATGACATTTTATGAACTTGTAGATATTTGATCAGATATGATTATTGCCTCTCTTTTAATTTGTTTATGTTTTATGCATATGGGAATATATATATTTAATTTGTTCGTGAAATATTGGCATATAAGTTCAGTATAGGATATTATTGCAGCTCTGTGTTTGCTAGTTATGTGAATTTGGATGAATTTTGAGGATAGTCAGTCTAGCTTGTTGTCAGTACCTATTTTCGTACTTTCAGAGTGATTGTTCACTTTGGTTGCACTGGTTTTGTTCATTTTAAGTTTTAAGAAGGTTTCCACTCACGGTAGTTTCCACTCAAGAATGAGGACAAATTGGAGTTCTCCAAGATCTTGGAGGCCATCAAGGTATGAAATTTTAAATTTTGTAAATACACTAAAAAAAAATTATTCTCTTGAAATTTCCTTGTGTTCAATTGTTATTTTGTTGATTCAGGTCAACTTCAATGACAAATATGATGAAAACTGCAAAAATTGGGGTGGTGGTATCATGGGCTCGAAATCTCAAGTGAGGACAAAGGCCAAAGAAAGGCTTCTTGCGACGGGGGATGCTCAGAGGATGTCTTAGTTTGTATTGCCATTTACTCATTATAGACAAATTTCAAACATGTTTCTTTCTCTGGTGACGAAATGCATTAAATTTTTGTTGTCTTCTGAATTTTGATAGGGTTTTTTAGCCTTTGGATTTTTTAGTTGTTATTTACTACAGTAGTACTTAACAATGAAATGCTTTTACTATTTGACATTTTAATCTCTGCAGTCTTGATCCTAGCCTTCGCTTGTTCAATCTCGAAAATAGCTAATAGAACCCTTGATTTTGTAGTTTCACCAACCTTTTTAAACTGTTGTGTCTCCGAACATGGCCTCTGAAGCTCCCTCGTGACGTCCAGGGCCCCACGAGAATCGCCATTTGATGTTATCACATTTGTGCTCATCTTTAGTATTGATTTAATTATATTTGTTAGGCTTAAGTTCATAATTTTGGTGATGTAATTGCATAATCCTTTATTTTATTATTTAATTATGGTCCACACTTGTTTTGAATGTTTTACATTGTTTGTTAGTGTTTTTTTTTACCATTGTAGGTCAATTCTATGAGCAAGGGAAGTTCTAAGGCGAGTTTGGAGTCAAAATGGACAAAATTGGAGTCCAAAAGACTTGACGCGTCGAAATTTTCCAATAAAGATTTCAGTTGATACCATCAAGTCTCGACGCGTCCAGAAAGACGCAGCGAAATACAAAGGGCGTTGTTACGCCTAATTAAAGAAAGGGAATTTGGGACAAGAAAGAAAGGAAATTTTTTTTGAATGCTAAAAAAAAAAAAAAAAAAAAAAAAAAAGAAAGAAAGGAAATTTAATTCCTAATCAAAAAGACATTATTTCTCAATCATTGCGCTGACTTCCATGCAAACCAATACAACATTTATATTCCTAATCAAATTGGAAGGCGGCAAATTATAATTTAGAAATTATATTCTAAATTCGGTCCAAATACAATTTCAGTCCAATTTTGCACAGAATTTTTATTTCAATCAGAATTGGTTCTGGGCTTTCAGCTATAAAATCCTACCTTCCTCAACCCTAATATTCATTCGGAGATCTTTGGAGACAAGAAAGAGAGAAATCAAGAGCCACAAGTTATCTTGGGAAGCAAGAAGAAGATTAGGGAGATTCGAGAGAATCGTTTGGTTTATTATTGTACTCCTTTTGATGATTTTGTAATTCTTTATTTATATATGCTATGTATAATTTAGCCATGCTTGGCTAAATTCTTTAGAGATTCTTGGGTAAAAAGTGTTTATGAACTTATGTGCCTGAGCTCTCAGATTCTTTAATATATTATTATTTGGGTTTAATACTTGTGTTGCAATTGTGTTTATCATTCTTGTTGCTAGTAGTTTAGGGCCTGAATTACTTGCTTCATAGCCATATTCATGTCTGAAAGAGAGTTAGGCATAAATTAGGGCACACACAATTGCACATAATTGTTGCACCTTGACAAAGTGTAATTTATTAGGGAGATTTAATTTTTGATTATTGCCAGTTCGAGAGATGGTAGTAGTTAGGAATTTATGATGCATGATCTTGTTTTATTGGGTGATTATCGCACGAGAGTGGATATTCACCCGTGTTAGTGACTACGAGAGTAGCTCTATACCACTTTGCATCCTCACACTCGTATGAACCCAGATTTAATATTACATTAGGTTAGGCACTAGGGGAATAAACACTTGAATCCCAAGAATCTCAGTCTCTCTCTATTGTTTCCATTACTCTAAATCATTATTTTATTTTATTTATTTTATGCAACTCAATCTAAATAATTGTTAGGATTAACTCTAATGAATAGATTAGTAACTAGTGCTTAATACAACCACTTCCCTGTGGATCGATAACTCGTACTTCGAAAATTATTTGTTTGCAAATATAATACACATCACCATTACAACCTTGCACCAGCGCCAGATTTCGCTTCGTTCCTTTGATGAAATTTGAAGCTAGCATTTTCTTCGTCTTCTTGAACAAGATCCTCTCTTTCTCTATTTTCGTGTTGTATGATCCAACTGTGGCTCGAATGTCCACAAGATCACGCGTAGTCTTGCTTAAATTAAATTTCGCTTGTTTCAACTCCAACAATATGAGACCAGGGGCCGACGATGGACACAGATTCTGTTGGAAAAAGATGCTTAGCTTGTATACTGTAATACATTTGAGATACAACAATAATACAGAATACAACAGGGAACAAAAACTGGATCATTTGATATCTTCAGGCGTATAATCACTTTCCTATAAGCTTTAAATCTCCCTCTATAAAAGCAACAAGGTTCAAGATTTAATCTTATGGGATACAAGAAGATGAATGAAATTCTCAAATTGCTCTGTTTGAGAATTTCCTGTAGAGATTTAATCTTATGGGATACAAGAAGATGAATGAAATACTCAAGTTGCTCTGTTTGAGAATTTCCTGTAGAACTGTAGAACTGTGAAATATCTTGGTTTCCTGCAAATTGATTGCCTCCATCAATTGCCTGTTGATTTTTCTCTAACAATTGCCTGTTGATTTTCCTTCTGAATGTTTCAGATGCCCTCAACATATTTATATAAAATATTTTAACAGTTAGGAGAGGTTACATGGAAGTTATAGAAGTTTAAAACTTCAACTTCCAAAAAGATATATCTTAACTGATATATTAATCATGGAAAATATATAATTGAATATTACATATATTCATATGAAATTGACCTTCGTGGGTTCATGCACTGCTTACAAAAAAAAAAAAAAAAAAAAAAAAAAAACAAAGTAAAATATATATTATATATTTATTAAAACATGGCATGTTAACATGCAAAATAAATAAACAATATATATTAAACATACATGCATGCACTACACACAAGCCAAAAGACTTTGGAAATGAAAATACTTTCGTGGCTTTGGAAATGAAACTAATTTCGTGGCTTTGGAAATGAAACTAATTTCCTTAGTTTCATGTTGCCGAAAGGAGCAAATGAAACTACTTTCGTTAGTTTCATGTGGCCGAAAGGAGCAAACCATTTTCGTGAAAGGTTATAATATAAAGCTCGCTTCACACGAAATCATTTCCAACATTCAAAACGTTAAGCACGAAAGCATTGATTCGTGTAACCCAACGAAATAAACAAAATGCATGCCATCAACTCGTTAAATTCGAATCTTTCGATTCGTTAAATTAACGAATTTGATACAACTGAATCCATCGTTTGAATAATGATTTGTGCACAATGATTTGTACGCAACATTCATATTTCCCAACTTACTTTCTACCAAACTAAAATAATATTTATAACTCCACAACTTCAAATATTATTTAAGCTTTCATGGTAGTCCATCTGAAATATTAATCTCCATTACTATATAAATCTCTAACATTCCTCCTCCATTTATATAGTAAAAATTAATACTGTACCAAGATAGATTCAAAACTCATGCATAAATGAAAGTGTCTTACAGATTGAACTTTCACATAGTATTATATGCGTTACATTAATTCGGATTGCAGTGATGGACGAACCTTGAATCACGCAGTCTCTTTGAAGAAACGTAGATATAACACACACAAGTTTTACAGTCGTTACAACTTACTGTAACTTGACACTATTAAGGCCATGTGTCCGTATCCATTAATGAGCACGTACCAAGTAAAACCTAAACTTGTTTGAAGCGGCCACACTTCATGCTCACAGAGGCTAATCTTTTATTTCATACACTGCATCTTGCATTTTTTCAAAAGATTAGTTAAGAGTAAAAACTCATCCCTACAACAATGCAGAACCAAGCATCACCTTTTCTTTGGATACAATTTTAATTAAACTTTTGATGCTTGCAAATCACAAAATGAAGTACTCATCTACATTGAACTCAAGGTCTAACGTAATAACTTAGACGTGAGTTGAGCTTTCCTTCACTTGCAATTTTAATTTAGGCTTTCTGTATCCCTTCCGATGAATCATGTCCCTTGCAAGGACTCTTGCAAACGGATCCGTTAAAACCGGGACCGTACAAAGTCCAATGCTACAACACCATAACTTAGGAGCTCCCGCACATAGCTATATCTCATGTCTATGTGTCTTAACTTGCCATTATAACTTATTGTTATATGCTTTGGCCAGTGTAGTAGCGCTGTCACAATGTACTAAAACTGGTGACATCGGTTTTGGCCAAACCGGAATCTAAATAATCAAATTCCTTAGCCAATCAACTTCTTGTATGTCAAAGCCAACACAAGAAATTCAGATGCCGTAGTTGAAAAAGCAACTTTGCCTTTAGAAATCCATAAAACAACACCTCCTCCAAGCAGAAATATCCTTCTACTAATTGAGGAACAAGTTTCATGATTAGAAATTCAACTGGCATTAGAATATCTTTTCAGGATGGAAATTTCTATTAAATATACTAAATCATACTTAATGGTTTTATTCAAGTATATCAAAATTCCTTTCGATCCCATCCACTTAGCCAACTGAACATGATGATAGAATTTTAATATTCTATTAAAGAAATGGTGAAATAAAATATTCAATTGATTATACCGGAACTCACTTAATAAGTTCCTAGTCAATAAATATTTATATCCTGCAAATTCTACAACCAAGAATTTCAATCATCATGTTGAACTTATTAGCAGTGAAGACTTCTTAAAATAAAAATTCAACCTCCTCCATTTGAGACATCATCAACTTTGGAGAATAAACCTCCTCCATTCAGAGAACATCAACTTTGGAGAATAAACCATTTTGATTTTAAACTTTTAACTTTTCATGTTTCTTCTAAACTTAAGAATCATACCAACTTAAAATCTCAATCCATGATTTAAATTTAAACTTTCTTTTCACTGCTAATTGCCAGCCATACTAGATAAACTAGCTAGTAAACTTTTTGGCTTTCAGAATTTTAACACATTCTCAAAATGAGAAACTTTGTGTTAAATACATTCATAAATTTTTATGAAATTCATTATGCATACTTCATGCATAAAAGTTTCTGTATGCCTTTATAAGAAATATAACAGAATATTTCCTAGGCTTTCTGTCTTTATTAGAAATATTAATAACATAATATTTCAAAAACTTTCACAAGGATAAAAACATCTGTGTGCTAAAATACCAATATTTCATGCATGAAAAAATAAAATAATTTCATCTTATCATTATGCAACTCTTTATCCATGCAAATGATACCAGAAATTTACAACACCAAACTACACCAAATTTGACAATATACAGCATACCAAGATCCAACATATTATACATGAATCTTGTATATTATGCATGCAACCGAGACAGAGTCTCAATATAAAAATATTTATATACATGCATAAACATATCCTTGTACTGGCAGGCTATGCAAAAACTCAAAAGAATCGTATGCATACCTTCTAGACAGAAACCAGAACTTAACTAGTAAGTAAAATAAAACTTACGTACCTGCCGAGGCCGAGACAAATATAAAGAAGGTAATGTACTGATCTCATCCTGTAACTTGTATCTGCCTTGATAATCCATATCTTCCGGCCTTTGATGCGCTAAAACCACACACCCACTCTAGGAAAGTACACATCTTCTCATGCCAATTAAATCATGGCTAACAAAATGATTTATTTAAATAAAATCATTTTACATATCTCACTAATCATCTTGGCATCACTTGATGCCCCATGATTTTTAAGTGAAGATGAAAACAAAAACTGCACAACATGCATTTAATCCACATGTTCAACATGTACACAGCATGCCATGAATAACATGCAAAAATCGCAGGAAAAGCCTTCTTGTATAATAGAAAGTGATTTCTGTCATCCTTACCACCAAATTCGAAATTCTCATTCCAAAATATTTCCGTGATTGGAAACTGTTCTTTCACACCTGATATCTTGTCTTCAAAACTTTCAAGACAAGACCATGATCACAGATTTAGAAAATTTAAAGCTTATAGATTGTTGGAAAAAGATGCTTGTATACTGTAATACATTTGAGATACAACAATAATACAGAATACAACAGGGAACAAAAACTGGATCATTTGATATCTTCATGCGTGTAATCACTTTCCTATAAGCTTTAAATCTCCCTCTATAAAAGCAACAAGGTTCAAGATTTAATCTTATGGGATACAAGAAGATGAATGAAATTCTCAAGTTGCTCTGTTTGAGAATTTCCTGTAGAACTGTGAAATATCTTGGTTTCCTGCAAATTGATTGCCTCCATCAATTGCCTGTTGATTTTTCTCTAACAATTGCCTGTTGATTTTCCTTCTGTATGTTTCAGATGCCCTCAACATATTTATATAAAATATTTTAACAGTTAGGAGAGGTTACATGGAAGTTACAGAAGTTTAAAACTTCAACTTCCAAAAAGATATATCTTAACTGATATATTAATCATGGGAAATATATAATTGAATATTACATATATTCATATGAAATTGACCTTCATGGGTTCATGCACTGCTTAAAAAAAAAAAAAAAAAAAAAAAAAAAAAAAAAAAAAAAGTAAAATATATATTATATATTTATTAAAACATTGCATGTTAACATGCAAAATAAATAAACAATATATATTAAACATACATGCATGCACTACACACAAGCCAAAAGACTTTGGAAATGAAAATACTTTCGTGGCTTTGGAAATGAAACTAATTTCGTGGCTTTGGAAATGAAACTAATTTCCTTAGTTTCATGTTGCCGAAAGGAGCAAATGAAACTACTTTCGTTAGTTTCATGTGGCCGAAAGGAGCAAACCATTTTCGTGAAAGGTTATAATATAAAGCTCGCTTCACACGAAATCATTTCCAACATTCAAAACGTTAAGCACGAAAGCATTGATTCGTGTAACCCAACGAAATAAACAAAATGCATGCCATCAACTCGTTAAACCCGAATCTTTCGATTCGTTAAATTAATGAATTTGATACAACCGAATCCATCGTTTGAATAACGATTTGTGCACAATGATTTGTACGCAACATTCATATTTCCCAACTTACTTTCTACCAAACCAAAATAATATTTATAACTCCACAACTCCAAATATTATTTAAGCTTTCATGGTAGTCCATCTGAAATATTAATCTCCATTACTATATAAATCTCTAACAGATTCAAACCACACCTATCACCTCCCACAAGATCACCGTTTCTTTCCTTCGTTGCCACTTCTGCAACAGCATCTGCGCGCTTAGCTTCTGAATCAACATCGAGTGAAGCACCGAGCTCAGATGCCTTATACAGCTTTACTTTCAGTTCTTCCATGGTAGTCTTGCACTTTCGAGTTCTTTTAGGACAACAAGTGTTTCCCTTTCTTTAACAACCAAATCCCTTTCCAACTTCACAACTTGCTCCTCCACCTTTGCTATGTCAACCTCGTAGATAACCTAGTTTTATCCTGGAAATGTAGAACGAAGAAATCAAACAAAGCAATGACATTGAGACCAACAAACAAACTACATGCAACTTTTGCTATATATGAATCTAATCCATACACAAACATTTTAAGGACACCAAAAACAAGATTACAGTAACCTATACAGGGCTACAGGCCAATGAACAAACAAGACATTTCCTAGTCACTTCACAGTTGTTTAACATAAGATTAGAATCCATAAAATGAAATTAGCAACATCTCTTTTACATATACTGAATGCCACAGATTACATGAAAGCCAGACATCAAGTTCAAATCTTTTGGACCATACAGTGGGCTAACATTGCCACCTTGTATTAAACAACAATACCACAAACAAAATCTCCAAGAAAATTGAAAATCAACACACAAAAGTATAGTAGCATTCTTGTCTACAAAAGACAAAATTCTCTCCACCTTTCAAGGCCCTCACACAATCACACTCCCCCCTCCAGCCTGACTGAATAATCTGAATAATGGAAGGTAGGGAGATTCAACAATTGATTCATTAGGTGGGAAGACCAATGCTTAGTGTCCGTATTGCTCACAATATATAATCTACCACCCATAACCGTGTGGGCACAAAAGTAAAAACAAACAATTCTTAGAAGGGGTGTTCCACACCCTTCTTCGGAGCCTTCACATTAAAGAAAAAAAACAAATACAAAAATGATTAGTTGCAGAGCAATCAGATGAAAGAAACCGGGGGATACGTAAGCAAGGAGAAAGCGCAGTAGCTCACCATTGCAAAAGGTGAGCAACTAGGGTTACGTTTGCGATGGAGGGAAAAACACTACAAGCTGATGCTTTAATATGATATAATAATAGAGAAAGAGGGGATCTTGTTCAAGAAGACCAAGAAAAGGCTAGCTTCAAATTTCATCAAGGAACGAAGCGAAATCTAGAGCTGGTGGAAGGTTGTAATGGCGATTCTCGTGAGGCCCTGGACGTCACGAGGGAGCTTCAGAGGCCATGTTCATAGACACAACAGTTTAAAAAGGTGGGTGAAGCTACAAAATCAGGGGTTCTATTAGCTATGTTCGAGATTGAACAAGTGAAGGCTAGGATTAACACTGCAGAGATCAAAGTGTCAAATAGTAAAGGAATTTCACAGTTAAGTACTATTGTAGTAAATAACAACTAAAAAATGCAAAGGCTAAAAAACCCTATAAAAATTCAGAAGACAACCAAAATTTAATGCATTTCGTCACCAGAGAAAGAAACATGTTTGAAATGACAATACAAATTAAGACATCCTCTGAGCAGCCTCCATCGCAAGAAGTCTTTCTTTGGCCTTTGTCCTCACTTGAGATTTCGAGCCCATGATACCACCACCCCAATTTTTGCGATTTTCATCATATTTGTCATTGAAGTTGACCTGAATCAAAAATAACAATTGAACACAAGGAAATTTCAAGAGTATAATTTTTTTTTAAGTGTATTTGGACCATACAGTGGGCTAACATTGCCACCTTGTATTAAACAACAATACCACAAACAAAATCTCCAAGGAAATTGAAAAGTATAGTAGCATTCTTGCCTACAAAAGACAAAATTCTCTCCACCTTTCAAGGCCCTCACTCAATCACACTCCCCCCTCCCCCCGCCCTGACTGAATAATGGAAGGTAGGGAGATTCAACAATTGATTCATTAGGTGGGAAGACCAATACTTAATGTCCGCATTGCTCACAATATATAATCTACCACCCATAACCAATTAAGCTATCGTGTGGGCACAAAAGTAGCATTCTTGATCATTAACGTAAACCATTCATATTCATTTCTTAATAATAGTATCACATTTTTGCCTGGCGATTCCAGAATGAGTCCAAAAAGAAATTTAAGACTTTGGCAATGGGAGTACAATGTTGCATTATATTGGTTGGTCGGTAAGAGGTCAGGTGCTTGGTCCGGTGGGGGAACTGTAGACTTTTTTTTTTTGGTCTGTAACGTTACTTAGAGTGAAATGATTGCAAAGAATTCCAGCAGAAAACATCAAAGCAAATGCAATGACTATATTGTATGCAGGAAAACGACACATTTTAAGTTTTTTGTCAAAAGCAAATACAAGTAAAACGACACATTAAGTTTTTTGTCAAAAGCAAATACAAGTAAAAAAAATAAACTCTGCTCACAACACAAGATCAGTCTACTTTGGTCTGTCCAAAAACATGGATAACAAATATCCTTAAGACATCCTCTGCGCTGCCTCCTTTTGAAGAAGCCTTTCCTTGGCCTTTGTCCTAGCTTGGGATTTAGAACCCATGATTCCACCTCCCCACTTTTTGCGATTCTCTTCATATTTGTCATTGAAGTTGGCCTGAAACAACAGATTGGTTATTCAAGTAAAGGGGAAGCATTGAAAGGTTGCAATGCTTTACAAGTAGATATATAAAATTCAACTCTGCTCACCTTAATAGCCTCCAAAATCTTAGAAAACTCCAACTTATCCTCATTCTTCACTGAGGTCAAGCACAAAACTGATGCAGTCTTCTTGTGGACAATCTGAAAGTAGAGTAAAATAAAAGCATCAGCACAAAAGGATATAAATGAAGACTTAAATGTTTATGTTTAATACTCACGGAACCCAATCTTGCTTTTCCCTTCACAATGCAGTAGGGAATTTCCATCTTCCTGCACAAAGCCGGGAGCCAGACAACGAGCTCAATCGGGTCTACATCATGAGCAATAACCACCAATTGGGCTTTATTCTGGAAAAGAATGAATCATTATCAAATAAATAATATTTCCAAATGGCTTGAAAAACACAAACACAGCACAGAGAATTTTTATTGAATCAATGACTAAACCTGCTCAATGAGGTAAGTGACATGCTTGAGCCCATACTTAACAACAATAGGCTTCTTTAGTTCAGGAGTCTTTCCCTCACTTTCAGCCTGGGCCCTTTTCAAAAGGCGCTCCTTCTTAGCAGCCTTATCCTCAGGCCTGTACTTGAGAAGCATCTTGAAGAGATTCGTTGCTGCAAATTAAGAAACAGAATCATACCCACACTTAGCACTTAACATTCAAATTCATTAACAATATTTGTAACCATTCTAATATCTATTTTGACAAAACATATAAAACCAGAAGGCAGGTTTTTTCCATACACACTAGTCAAATAACCAATCCCCTATTCAACAAAGGAATTATATAAACTTAACTTCAAAAGATGAATTGAAAGGCATCAAAGATATAATAATCAACAGAACCTGGTTGAATTTGTATTATTAAAGCATCAACATAATAGGGATCCAAAATTCCAATTTTTCCACAGCAGTAACAAACAATTATTCTAACAGGGAAATATATAATCAAATGAAAAAGATAAAGGAGATAGCAGACCAACCTAAGTTCTTATCAAGGGTCTTGGAAAACTGGTTGAGTGCTGGCGGGACCTTCAAGCGCTGCTTGAGGATCCTCCTCTTCCTCTGGATGCGAACAACTTGCGGCCATTTGACGAACCTTGTAAGATCCTTCTTGGGCGGCAATGCACCTCCGATTCCAAATTGCTTTGGCCGCTTCTCAAAAAGCGGGTTCACCACCTTCTCCGGCTTCTTCTTTGCCGCCGCGGCCGGAAGCTTTACACCTTTCTTCGGAGCCTTCGTATCGTATCAATAACAGAAAAAGACATGAAAAATTTAGTTAACTGCACAACGCAGGCAAAGGCAAGGCAAATCAGTAAGAGAAAAGATGTATACCATTTTCACTTCCTATCGGCGAAAACCCTAACTCACTGACCCTCATCAATGAAGAAGAAGACCTTATATAGTGAATACCACTGGACTCTGATTTAACTTGGGCCCATCCATACTGGACTTGCTTTTGAAATTTTGGGCCTATAAGACCTGCCCTAAAATAATATGTTTATGATATTTACCGCAAATTACACCATACAACACTGCTCTAAAATGATGTTTTGATTGTTTGTCTGCCTTCGGTTAACGAATAAATAAATTAAATGTACATAACATATTAATTGTCGGTACATAATTTATTAAATTATTAAATATTATGATCCCCGGGCAACCCCAACCCCTGTTGGTGTTGAAAATTTAGGCACAAGGCTTCAAAGCAGTTACAAAACTATTCATAATTGTGAATATAGAGTTCAAAAATTATAAACATAAAGTTCTATAATTATGAACATAGAGTTATGAACATATAGTTCTATAAGTATGCACACAGAGTTCTATAATTGTGAATATAGAGTTCAATAATTGTGAAAAATGAAGTTAAAAAATTATGAACATAGAGTTTTATAATTATGAACATAGAGTTCAGTGATTATGAACATAGAATTCTGTAATTATGAATATAGAATTCAATAATTGTGAATATGAAATTCAAAAATTATGAACATAGAGTTTTATAATTATGAATATAGAGTTCAATAATTATGAACATAGATTCGTATTCACCTTGCAAGGTGGACACGGTTCCACGGCATAACTATCTATTTTTTATAGTGACTTTAAAATTGTAAGTTTATAATTTATAAAATATAAATTTTAGTTTTATAAATGCATAAAGAAATTACAATTTAATAATTATATTTTTTTTGAGAACTACTCTGTTACAATGCAGTTTCTATTCATAATTACTTTCTCAATCTAGTGAAGCACAAAGATTTTTAATACCGCATCACGCGAACCCACAACCTCCCATATTGGAAAGCAACTTGGTACCACTAGACCACAAAGTCCTTGGTATTTAATAGTTATACAAATATGAAATAAAAATAAAATTTTTTAATTTAAAAAGTATAAATTATATTGGAGTAAATTTCAATTTTGGTCCTGTGACTATTGGGGTTTTGTTAATTGCAATCCACGACTTTTAAAATTATTAATTTAGTACATTAACTATTCAATTTTTAAATCAATTCAGAAATCGAAGGAGGACTGTAGAAATCATCTTTGCCAATTGCAGTCATCGGAAATATATGTTCTCATTATTTCCGTTTGGGGGAAAGAATCCACCGCCACCACCGAAAATATATGTTCTCATTATTCCCATTCTTTGTCGTTGTCGTCGTTTCTCCGTTGGTCGCCGACGAGGCTCAAGATAGGAGATGAAGGATCTACTCAAACCATAGTTGACATGGATGGTGGGGCTGGAACTGCGATGGAGGTCGCCGGGAATGGAGGAGGTGGGAGGTTGACGATGGAGTGCTGGCAAAGATGGATGGGATGATGGTTAAAAGACGAAATTGTCCTTAAATTAAATATTAATTGGTTAATTAAAAATTTTCGGTGAGATTTGGCCGACAATTTGGTCGGAGTGACCAAAATTGATAAAAATTAAATAGTTAAGGTACTAAATTAACAGTTTTAAAAGTCGTGGATTGCAATTAACAAAATCTCAATAGTCACAGGACCAAAATTGAAATTTACTCAATTATATAATGTATAGACATGAATTTTTTAAAAGAGTCCGCATGGGTAGCTCAACTGGTCATAGAGGTGAAACTTTGGAAGAATGACCAGGGGTCGAGTCTCACCAGCGGCAGTGTGGGAGCAATCTCTGTAGTGAGCACCGGTCTAGCCTAATTGAGTCACCATGATTTACATCCTCCCAAATGCTCTGTCGGGCCAGGGTTGGGGTTCTTCCTTTTGGAAGAATGAATTTTTTAAAAGAATTATTAAGTTAAATATTTTAATAGATTAAAATGAGTTTGTGTCCCTCCATAATATGACAATTATCAATGTCGTCACTACTAAATTATTAGTGGTGCAAATGTTTCCCCTCAATTTTCAAAACGGTACATATATTGTCCCTCCCGTAGTGTAAATGTTGCCCGTTAATTTTCCTCTCGTACGGTACGAGAGAGACAATATATGTACCATTTTGAAAATTAGAATGCTACTTGTGCGATGCACGGGATGGATATTAAACGATATTATAAGAATAATATTTATTGAAAAAATACACAACTTAAGATAACTACTAATATAATCATATCATCATGTGTATTTTTTTTGAATGCTACTAGCTCTATTACATTGTAGTATCTGTTCATATACTTTCTCAACCTACTGAAACACAAAGAGCTAATAACGCCTCCACTAAGGCTCGAACTTACAACCTTCCAAATGGAAGTCCAACCTGGGTACCATTGGACCACATAGTCCTGGTATATCATCATGTGTATAAATTCACAAAAATACTAAACATTAATATTAAACTTTACAAATTGTTAAAAACTTTCTTGTAGGCAACATTTGTAGTTGAAGAAGAGTACTCTCCATTTTGACCTAAAATAACAACTTTAAGACTCTTAGGGTTGCTAACTCTAGATAGAGCCACATAAGTAAATCATTTGAAGTATGAAAACCATTTTCTACAATAATTGGAGTTTAATATTTAAATAATTATTTCTTTATTGTTAATTAAATGAATAAATAATTTCAAACACAATAATCAGTTTAGTTAATAACGTACCAGTTTCCATGCTAGGATTCACAACTTTGTCATTTAAAAAATCTGATTTAGTAGATGAGTCCACAAGTGTTTGAGATATAGTGCTGTGCATAACATTGCCTACAACCAAAAAGAATATCAATCTACTATACTATATATATCTATCTACTATACTAATAAGAGCCCAAGAGAGTTAGGCCTATAATGGGTAGAAAAAATGGCGGTCAAATTTTTTAATCAAATGAATGGCTCAGATTGATCAGATTTTAATTTTTCCTTAAGATTTCGTAATTTATCCTTAATGAATGTGATTTTCCGTTAACTTTTCCGTTAAATATTATCTTTTCTGTTAATTTCTGTTAGTTCACCGTTAACTTACTCATTGATTTTAATAAGAATTTAAAGGTCTTAGGTTCGAACCTCATCCCAATCAAAGTTGGCATAATTAGTACTCTATTTTACTCTTATTAAATTAATTAAAAATAATAATTTAGTAACTACAACAAAAAATAATACATATCATTTTTTAATTTAGAGTTATGTGTCTACAATGCCTTTATTCAAAAAAAATTATTCATTATCAATAAATTAAATAAGAGAAATAATTTCATTAGTTATATTGTATTTATTTTTCTCCAATATAAAAATTCTTTATATTCAAATTCATCAATTGATTATATTTGCTACATTGTCCCTACAATGTCTTTATTAAAAAAAATAATTCATTATAAATAAATTAATTAAGAGAAATAATTTTATTAGTTATATTGTCTGTATATTTTTCCAATGTAAAAATTCTTTACATTCAAATTCATCAATTGATTATATTCACACATTGTATATTACCTTTTTTTTGTGCACTATTTTTTTTTAATTAAATATCAAAGTTATAAATTTATAATACAAAATAATGCTATATATTTATTTATCAAGTATTTTATTAATATCATGAAAAAATTAAAAAAATATAATTAATAAAGCTAATCATATTAATTACTTTAAGGATTTGTTGACAAAGAGACTATTCAAATCACACAACAAATTGAAGTGAGAACAACTTCGCAATATTCTTGTTTGACAATCAGCAGTTAGCGGATTATATTAGCGAATTTGACCAGCGAATTATATCAATGGTTGGTAAAAAGATATTTGAAAAAATTAGTTGTTTAGATTAACATGTAAAATGACCTAAGGGTATGATAATAATAATAATAATAATAATAATAATAATAATAATAATAATAATAATAATAATAATAATAATAATAATAATAATAATAATAATAATAATAATAATAATTGTTTTAAAAAAATAAAAATAAATAAAAAATATAATTAAGTCAATCATATTAACTACTTGGGAGATTTATTGACAAAAAGAATATTCAAATCACACAATAAATTGAAGTGGGAAACTATCTTGCAATATCCTTGTTTGGCAATCAGTAGCTAGCTCCTCAATATTAGTATATACGGAGTATTTAATAATTTATGTCCTAATTTTTATTTTCTCTCCCTTATGTCATGTATTTGGTTTCAACCATACCTATACAATTATTTTATTGACAACTATAATCAATCTTGACATATTATCTTGCATTTGTAAACTTAGAATTGCCTATTTAAATACACAAATTTAACATTCAATTATCTGTGCATGAACAATTCCAATATAATCTTGCATTGATATACTTTGAAATATTTATTTTAAAAAATATTGGGCATTATCTCAATCGCGCAATACGCGTAAAAAAACTAGTATAAATAAAAAAGAACAATACAATTTATATACACAACTTAAGTAACATTTACAATTCGTCAACACTATAAACGGTGTAGAGATCGATTTGTTAAACACTCCAAAAAAACTGAAATTTCATGCATCCAACCTAGCAGCTTCAATTCCTTCAGTAGAGACGTGATTAGCAGACAATATGACGTCATTTTCTACAAACATCAAAACCAGCAGTTTAATTTATTTTGAATAGTAAGATGAATAACAATTAATCTCCATTTTTTAAACTATTAAATTATTCACAAAATTCATGATTTGAGTAAATTCTTGTTCAAAATTTAATAGTATTTCCGTACGAACAAAAAAAAAATAATTAGCACTAAACAATGAATAACCTTAATAATAATAATGATAAAAAATATATATATAAAAGTGATTACAATTCTCATTAAAATAATAATCAGTAATTAAATATTTTATGGAATACAATTACTATAATAATAAAAAGAATAATATGAATACTAATACTAATAATAAAATAATAACAAAAACACTTTTACTAATAATAATAATAATAATAATAATAATAATAATAATATTATTATTATTATTATTATTAATGCAACTAATAATGTTATTAACATAAACTAGTATTTTCACCCGTGCGATCACGGAATGGAATTGTTGTAATATATTAAGAATATTTAAATCGATATATAATTATTTAAGAGTTAATTTCACCAGAGGTCGTTTATCTTTCCTGACAATTCCAAATTTAATCCTAGACTATAGTTATTAATTATTACTCCGTACAATTTATTCTATGTTACAACTCTTACGTTAATATTCTTACTATTATTATTAACACTTAATTACTTTTAGATATTATTATTATTATTAGTTTCTTTTCAAGTACTGTTAGTATATAATGGTCGTGAG